AGTGGTCCCCCTTACCGTAGTGGTCCCCGTGACCGTAGTGGTCCCCCTTACCGTAGTGGTCCCCGTGACCGTAGTGGTCCCCCTGACCGTAGTGGTCTTTGTGACCGTATTCATTTGAAACTCTTGCAGGCAAGGGCAAATTTTCTTTGGTTGCCGATGCTGATTGTCCTGGCCAGGAGAACAACATACAGGCGGACTGGATGACAGGTGAGTCCCCCTCCCCTGATGTGCGTCCTTCCCCCCCCCCCCCTCTCTTGATTTATCTTCTCCCGTTTGTAGCCATTGTGTCATTTCTGTATTACGGTCTGAACGATCCGTTGAGAGATGTGTTAAAACACCACGATTGTTTGGACCAGAACAGTTGTTGGTTGTGTGAGTTATTGTACACATTTGAGAACTTGGATCAGTCCCGAGCAGAGGGTCGTGGACAGCCGATCAGCATTGCTGGGTTAATGGGTAGCTTGTTGGAGGTGCAGCCGATGTGTTCGGTGGCGGCAAGCTTGTTGGAGGGTAGTAGTGATGGAGACTTACAGCGTGATGCGCCACATGGTTTGGTGAGTCGGAAGCTGTACAGGAGAAGTGCGCGGAATGCGACCCCATTATTAGCTGAGGCGTACAAGAATGATGTAGTTCAAATATTCCATCCACCAGACCCCGGCTATCGTATGGACCCCGGATATCGACTAGAACCTGGTTACAGATTGGATCCCGCTTGTTATCAGATATCGACCGGACATCGACATGACCCCGGATATCGACAGGACCCCGGATACCCCGTACAACGGTATCAAATAAACCCCGGATACCGTTCCGATACAGTCACAGAACCCTCACTCACCAAACCAAGCCCCAACCATGGAGCCAACGGCGACGGAGAGTACTCCATACTCCGAAATGAATCCCATCCAGGAGCGCAAAACCGACTACGCAGCGACGCACCACCCTTTAGACGTTACAGCGAAACAAGTCAAGATACAGAACAACCTATTGGAGGGGAGCCAGTTCAGGACGGAACAGTGCAGAATGATAAGGACCCAGCCCCGGAAGGTGTAGCTTCGGAAAAGAAGCCAGACCGAGCATGGGAGGCAGATCCAGCAAAGGAAGCTGACAACGACCGCGACGACGTTGAGGACTCCGACCTCGAAGATGCGGATAGACTGGGCCTTGAAGACACTGACCGAGATGAGAATACGGATCGAGATGAGAATACGGATCGAGATGAAAATACGGATCGAGATGAGAATACGGATCGAGATGAGGATACAGATCGAGATGAGGATACAGATCGAGATGAGGATACAGATCGAGATGAGGATACAGATCGAGATGACGGGGGGCAACAGACTGCTGTTGGACATGCCCTGGATGGGTCAGCTGCAGGGCCAGCTGCTGATCGACTAGATGTGAAACCGCAGGACCCGCCACGCCAGACGAGCGAGGAAACCTTCAGGGCCAACGCGGAGACTTTCCGTCCGGGGGCCGCGGCCCACGGAACAGGGGCTTACGGTGGGTCGGCTTACAGCGGCGGGTCGGCTTATGGCGGAGGGCCGGCTTATAGCGGAGGGCCGGCTTATAGCGGAGGGCCGGCTTATGGCGGAGGGCCGGCTTATGGCGGAGGGCCGGCTTATGGCGGAGGGCCGGCTTATGGCGTAGGGCCAACGTTTTCGGCGAATACTTTTCGTGCAAATGCGGAGACCTTCCGACCGAGCGGTGAGGCGTATTTCCGTCGCGGTCCGAGGGAGGCGAAGCGAGGGAATGAGGCGGTGCCAAGTACGATGCTGCCGGCAATGAATATGGCGGCTTTCGATCCTTATCATCCAGGTAGCGGCTACCGTACGGCATACCCCGGTGGCGGCGGCTACGTGGCTACCAGCGGGCCTGCTACCCTCTACTCCGGCTCTGCAGCGGGCGGGACAGCGTACCGTTACGGGTACCCGGCAAACGGCTACGAGTCGGCGGCTGCAGCC